AACAATGCGATAACAAATTTTCAAGACAATTTATACAAATTTGAACTAGTTGATGGCGTATTCAAAATAACTTCACAAATTTTATAAATGAAAATAACTTCTAGACCTATTAACTAGTATTATTACAATAGATATAAATAATATTTTGAAATTGAGAATATTTAGGTTTCAAAGGCCAAAATACTTTTTCTCTTCATCCGGATAATAAACCTAACAATGAAAGAGGTATAAGAGGGATATATCCCCTCAGTTCAAAAATATTTACACTGTGAATACTCTTACAAATTTTTATTGTTTAAAGAAGATAGTGAAAAATGTTATTATGTAAATCTATTTTCAGAAAAATACCCTAATATATTACTAATATACAACCTAATTTTTTCATCTATACGAAACTGAGAAAGTTTTAATAATTAATACTTTTTCAAAAATTGAGATCATTTTTTTTTAATTAAATAAATATATGATATATTTATTTTAAAAAATCGCTTAAAATCTGAAAAAGGTATACTTTGTTTTTTATAAACAGAGAAAATTACCCAAAAATTAAAAATCGTCAAATTTCTATATTTTTTAAACATTTTTATTTAAAACTTCCAAAACTATTGAAAAATAATTCAATAAAACGAAATTTTTTAGGAAAAGATCAGGTTTTCTTTTTTCATTAGGCATATATATTTTTTTTTTTTGAAATCAAACCCTTACCTACCCACAAGGGAGAATTCAAAGTAGCAACTTTAAAATAAAAATCGAACTTATGAAAATATTGAGAAATACTGACAACTTTAAAAAAATATTAAATTTAAATTTATGTAATATTCTTTATATTGAAAAAAAAATGACTTCGTAGTGCAAACATCTGTTATATTAAAAGGCTTTCATTTTTTTATAGAGTGGTCAAATTTTTTTAAACTTCAATTTTTTTCAATAATAACTTGTTGAAAAATGTATATATCAGCACAGATTTTTTCAGAAATGCGTTATGTATATTTTTTCTAATAGATTTTCCTATAGATTGCTTATTAGAGTATTTAGGTAATTTTGAAGTTTTTTATGAAAGCGTGAGTAGTTGTAAATTGATAGTTAGATTTATGATTATGTTAATTTATGTTGGGATTTTAAGATCATATTTTACTACTTTATGGTACGTATCAATGAGAACCTGACATCATACAAAAATTGATTAATTGGAACGCTTTTATTTTTTTTTAATTTGTAAGTATTGCTGGCCCCAATTTTGTATTGCATATAACCAAACAGGTCGAGTAGTCATATATATAATGCATTGTTATTATATATATTACTGTTTATAAGATATGATTTGAATAACAGGATATAAGGTACCAAACCGAATCAAAAGATTGTGTGACATACAAGAAAACTGCAGCATAATAATATTTTCTTTCAAGTGCAATGGCTCTGGTTTCAACGGATGCGTGATGTTGATGAATAGTAGAATTTTGAGGTCTGAACCTAAATCGTAACTTTTGAAAAATATTTAATTCAGTTAGAAGTAACCACATACAAAGGATTTATTCAAATATTTTTGATAAAAATATTTACTCATTTATTTCTAAATTACTAAATATGATTTATCTTTAAATATTATTTATAATGGTTATTCCTCGGAGAAAATTCATAATAATTTTAAATGTTCTTCCATTGATATTTAAATGAACATTTCATTAAAAAGTTACATTGTAAATAACATAAGTCTCCCAAAATTTAATACAGTTTATTGTTATCGTTCACATTAATTAAGTAATGGCTTTGTATTAATAAAGTTTCATGAAAATATTGTTAATGTATGTTTGACTTTTATGTTAGTAAACGTAATATATTTTTAATTGACACGAAATTATAATTATTATAATCAGAAACTTTTTTTAAAATTAATTCAACTGTTTTAACAACCCCAAAAAAGTAACAATCATTAGTCTTTGAAAAGCATAAAGGTTGTCAAATGAATAAATGTTTCGCTATTAATTATAATTTCTTAAATTTTCTTTATTAAAATTTAAAATATGAAAAAGTAATATTTCTACCGTTTATAATTTATATTTATACCTTCCATTATGCGATTATGTGTCGCGTTGAAATATATTTTAATTTAACGAATATTAATTAAAGCTATTAATATTCGTGCATAGAAAAAAACATCTTTGCTCTTTTAGATGATTTTTGTAATAAACAAACAGTCATGTATGAACACTCAAAAAAATTGAAAGCGTATTATTTACTAAGAACTTGTAGTTTTATTTTAACGAAATAAATCGTTAAAATATTATGATAACTGTTTTTAGTGAAATTTACATGAGTTTAATTTCAAAACAAAATGAATTACAATTTAATAACATTTGTTACATTTGTAGTAAATTGCCTTAAGATTTAGGACCATTAAGATTTCACGTTTAATATTTTTCAAACGTTGTGCTATATTACTTTTGAGGCATTACAGCCAGTGTATTTTAATATCATGCCACTGGTGACAAATTATTTTTATTATTTTTTCGAGTACAACACTATTTTTTTCCACGCAAAAATCTGAATATGACCCGGATTTGTGACTTTTCTACATACCAGCTGTGTTGTAAATTTCCATACAGTAAGATCATTAATGTTCCAGGTTGTATTTTATTATTATTTTTTTTACAACTCAAGTTCACAAGTCCAAGTAACATTATAGCCAAAGATGCGCGGCACACGTTTCCTAGGTGACAGTTTTATCGGAATCAACGTCGATGTCGGTCAATCAATTTGTAAAACCATATTTACAAATTTACATAAACATTACATCATGTCAAACATACATTGACCGCGTGAAAATGACATCTATTATGACGGATAAAACTTAAACGTTTTTCGGTCATACGACATAAAGTCATTTTTTCGTAAAACACGAGTAATTTATTTATAAAATGCTTGAAAAAAATGAAATATTATTTACTCAGAAAATATTTTACTAATAATAACGACATATTCATCGTCAAATTCTAACGGAACTTGAGGTAAAGATCTTGATGCACAAAATTAACACTTTCAAGTATCTAATGAATTAAAATTTATATCAACGTAAAATTACACTGAATGTATTATCACAATGAAATACTGCCATAGTAATAAAATTACTACGTATAAGATTTATTTCTAACCAAAACTCGAGTTTATTCAGAAATAAACGCGTTGAATCTACGTTAATAAGATAATTATTACATCAAAATAATGATGAATTAATAGAAATTAAAACTTTTATGCGGTTAATACTCAAATTCTTCCAATCTAAATACTTTTCTTAAGTATGTTATTATATGTTTGAAATAGATTTTTAAAAAAAGTTTATAATAATTCACAAAACAAAAGTTACATAAGAATTTTTGTTGGCTCAAATAGTGTTAGGATGTTTTCAAAGAAAAACAATATTATCAAAACTCACGAGTACGCGAGTAGTATATTTTTCAAATGTGGGAGTGAAATATGTGACAAATCAATTTTATCCATATTCATATTTTCAAGCTTATTTTTATCTCGTACTATATTAGATTATAAAATATGAAACATCGTGTTTGAGTTGACAGAAATATGAAACAAAATTTTTTCCTTAGATTTTTATATTTGAATAAACATGAACTTATGGGATAGCTTCAAACTGATTTCATTACTTAAAGGTATCCAACAATATTGTTTTCATTGTATTTTTTTTTATCATTAATGTAAACTAAATAATAACACACGCTCATTAAAACAAATACGATTAGAACTAACCCAATCATTATAATTTATCTCATTTGACCTTAAGTTCTTATTTCAACATTAACTATTAGGTTGCTTTTAATCTTTGAAATGAAAAATACCTTTATATTATATTGTTTAAAAAGTAATAGCAAAATTTACATTGTTTGTCTTGCAATCATTTACTCTATAAATGACGGTCATCGTCTCATGTGACACATTTTGTATACCACAAAATGGTTACCATTAAAATATTTACCAAGATCGCTTTTTAACTTTTGGGATAATTAGTATGGAAAAAGGTCACTTTCGATTCAAGCGACCCAATTTATTTAACTAACCATAGCAGTTATGATAATTATTTAGCTAAACAGATACAAAGTTCTCTAGTTTGGCTTTTATTATCGACTTACATAGTAAACGTTTTAGAATAAATATTATAAATCCAATACAAACTCCTTAATAATAATTAAATTTAATTGTCTACAAATTTGGGATTCTCGGCGTCATTATAATTAACGTTCAAGTTGTTTGATTTGACGTTTTCTATTTATGTACATTTTGTACGGCAATTAATGAACGCATTTAGTAGTTTCTGCCGCAGACAATAAACCTAGCGGTGACAAGGGATGCAATCAGATCCCTTGACCGAAATATTCCAACGATCGTGGGATATTTAAAGGGTTGGTAGGCTCAAACGGCTAAAATAATTTCTTAAGTCTTGCGAAGTACGTGTGATATTGTTCAACGTTCATTATTCAAAATCGATCAATTATCTCAACATACCGTACAATTTATGCTGAAACTATCATATGGAAATAGTAATTTCATTAAAAAAAATTACATTATTATTTAAAATATTAACATTTCCATTGTTGCTTTGACATTTTATCTTGACAGTCTAGACTTGAAGGACTTTCTGATTGCATTTTTCTGTACATACATGTATATATATATTCAACTGCGTAGGCACTAATGATATACAAACAAAATAGTGAGAAAAAAGTAAAGACGTTGATAATATTTTAATAACATGTGAAGGGATTGGAAGGAATGCGAAATTAATAAAAGAAAGGCATGCACAAGAAGAGTAAAAAATTGTAAGCTTACGAAAAAAGAAAAGGAAAAAAAAGGATAATAATAATAATAATAATAATAATATGGCAAAAAAATCTGTGGAAAACGTCAAAGTCTGAGAGCGAATTGTGCGCCGTCGTGATCGCTGATGCGCCACTGCAGGACGAGGCCGGAAAAGCTTATCGTCGGCTACCGTGACGACCACAGACTCCGTCGTGGCAACCCGTTCCGAGCAGTCCGTTCGATGTTCACTGTAGTGTCTCTTTACGTGTTTTTTTTTCTCTAAAAATGTGCGTAAGTTGTATTTACCGTGTGCGTGATTCGCAGTATACATAAGTAAATTTCCCTTTGATTTTTCGTACATTCGCCGACATGGTTTTCGTTCGACGCTTTAATTGCTATTCGTTTTTTCCCACGCGTAGCTTCGCCGTATCTTCACCCTTTTGATTATTGCTTGCAGAGATTTACGCGCATCAATCGAGTCTTTTATATCACAAAAGTTTGCGCAAAGAAAACGTAAAATGGCGAGAAATTTCTCCGTATGGACTAGGAGTTTAATGAGCGGCGCCCTCTTAATGTTAGCCTGTGGTGAGTTATTTACAATTTTAACCAGAAGTACTTCTAAAGAAATATAATTAGCCATTTAAATATTAAAATAATAATTNTGCGCAAAGAAAACGTAAAATGGCGAGAAATTTCTCCGTATGGACTAGGAGTTTAATGAGCGGCGCCCTCTTAATGTTAGCCTTTGGTGAGTTATTTACAATTTTAACCAGAAGTACTTCTAAAGAAATATAATTAGCCATTTAAATATTAAAATAATAAAAATTGGTCTCGAAAATTACAAAATCAATTTATAACTATTTATTGGATTTATAAAAAAAACACATCGAATTTATAAAAGTCTTAAGAATAAAATTGTATAAGCACAAATTTTATCCTATAGATATTAATTTATAATTAATAAACACTATATGATAAAATCATTGTTGTTTTTTGACCGCATAATGGCGATATTCTATGAATAACTAATCCCGAAAAGGGTTTACTAATAATAAGGCAATCACTAACACAATGGTCAAGCCACTAATGTTAGGCGATGTAGTAATTACAACTGCCCTTTTTCTAAAGACCTTACATAGATCAACTTGATAAATTATGTTTCAAACTATAATCTGAATTCATGGCATTTTGGTCACAAAGTGAAAGCCAAAACTTACTACTAATTGTTTATTAAATGTAAACATATAATATGCAAAACAATGAAAAAACAAAGTTCAAAACAACACAGTTTCCTATTTATACAACACTGTCAAATATCGAAATTTCATATTCTTAGTTTCATTCAAAGTTGGAAAAATTAACCGGATGACAGTCAATTTTTAAAAATAGCAACTCGAGTCATGTTCTTTTTCAAACGTGATTGGGATGATTATGAGTAACGCATCGATATGATACTTTTTTCTCTATACTTTTCCATACACATTTGATCTTATGGTTATAGCTTAAAAGGATAAATGCAGAAATAATTATTATGCAAACGAGATTGTCGACTAGTTTCCAGCAAAATATTTCGCTTCAAATGAATGTGTGAGAATAATACTCGTATATCTTTTGAATATAGCAATTGAAATGTAATAAGAAAATTTCAAACTGTACGTCATAAATCATTTTTTAATTATTTTACAAATGACATCATGTACTAATGTATAATCATCATGTATTCTAATTAAGTACATTATAATTATAAAGAAATATTTACTCGTTATTTGAAAATTAGTTTTTTATAAATGCGTTCAAAATGTTTTCTAAGTTAAACTTTTATTTGTTAATACAAAGTATCATATGTTTTGTTGCAATCCGTTAAAACATATTACGTTACCAAAACAAACTATTTTTATTTATAATTTTAATCTTATATAGGCAGAATAATTTATACTGAAAAAATTGTACGTAACATCAAAACATTTTGCACTTAGTTATATATAAATTAAAACATTCATTTCTTCTGTTTCTATTAATTGTGGATGATCGAATTAACGGTACTTGTATAAGTATTCATACTTCATTTGAAGCAAGTTTGCCGTTTATTAACAGACATATAAAGTTGTCAAATACACCTAACCTAACGACTCAGCAGCACGTTTAATGTATAATACTGATCATAACTTAATTATTATTACATATTTTGTTTATAAGGGAACTCATTTAACTTCACAAAAGACGCCCTATTGTGTATTACTTGAGTAAGCACACGTCATACTTTGTACGTCACATTTAAAATTTTTTTTATTATTCACTGTACTAATGAAGCATAAAAATAAAGTATAAATATAATAAAAAATTTAATTATTTTCTAAAACATTATTCTTACATTTTTCATTTATAAATTAATCTTACATGGTTATTATTTATTTTACTATGTTATAAAAAAAATCTCTAAACATTTAAACGAAACAAACTCTTTATTTCCTTTTATATTTATAGCATAACATTGTAGTAGATGATCTTTTTCTTTCTAAAGTGCATGACAGACAAACTTCACACTTTTTAGATGTCTCCTGTTCATAATTTTTTACACTTTCCATTTGATAATTTCTTTTAAAAAAATCATTATATCCATTAACAATGATTTGATGGTAGAACTTGTAATTAATATATTTCGTAGAGTTATTTATATATTATGTAGAAATATTTTTGAACATTTATTTCAATAATATTCATAAGACTATAAAAATTAACACATAGCCTGCTATATGTAATTCTAAACACGGTATAAGTTGCACAAATTTTTGGTAATAGTATCTACTCCACCTTATGCACTATTACAGTCTATAATGATTTCTGATTTTTTTTTTAAGTCATCAAGTTTAAACGTTTTTCCGTAGGACATAAGAAATAAGAACTTCATCTTTTTGAAAACCAAATATACTTTATTCGACATCTTAGTTTTTGCGATGGAAAATCTATAAATAGAAATAGAAAAAATCTTATGTTCATCTAATCATTCAGATAAAAGTTATATTAATTGAACTATAATTGTCGTACAAAATGCAAATACACGCCTACTGAACATTTAAAAAGTATAGATACATTTATTGTACAATAATAATAAAATAATTGTGTTTTCAATGAAATGTAATTTTAACACAATGAATACTTCTGAACAAAACACATTTCAAAAAATGTTCATTATTGTAATAAAAACTATTTCATTAAGGACAAATTAATTTTACACAGTATACAATATACTTTTTATTAAATATTAAAAATCGTTTTCGCAGTAAAATTGAACCAAAAAAAAACTTGATGAAAATAAAGAAACTCTACTGCAAAAAACTTTTTTTACACATTCGACGTTATCCCGGAAAAAGTTGTCACGCTAAAAGTATAACTTCCTGGAACGATTCATTATTATCATAGAGACACATGCCTAGTAGTGCTTAACATTTGATGTTACATGAAATATTTTCTGGTTTACGTGAGTTCATTAATTTTCCAACAGTGTAATGCACATATCAACAAGTTAGTAAGAATTCTTGCAACCAATCTATTAACTGGTGTTATAGATAAGCAAAAATGTTATAATTAATTTAAGTTGGTATTATTTAATATGACTTGATCAATAAGAATGTTAAGCAATTACAAATAATAAATATTAAATACAGTTCTATAAATTCGAACAAATATATAATTACGATGATATTTTTTAATAAATTACAAATATTCTTTAAAAATGTTTTTTTTTATTGAACACTATTTCATTGCACGCTATGAATAGGATAAATTGATGCGTCCGAATGGGAAAGTCTCAGTAAAGTGTATATTTACACCTTTGTTCGCCAAGATTTTATCAGACGGTAAATAGTTATGTTTAATAATACCCTAAGTATGAACTGATCCATACAAAATATTGAAAATAATAAAATGATAAAAAAAAAAATGATTAAATACTTAAGAAATTATGTTAATAACGAATGAACATCAATCATTACGTTCTGCATTTTAATTAAAATGAACAAATGAACTTATCTTGAAGGATACAACTACTGACATAAAGAGAATAACTTTAATTAGTAATGTGTCTTAATAAGCAAAACACAAATGAAATAGTAAACAGTTGGTTTGCTAAAATACTTGTAAAGTTGTGAAATCCATTTATCCGTTTATACAATATAATTATTAGTTTGCATTTGCTATCACTATTTTAGGCCCATATCTACTCAATAACTAATCCTAATAAAAACACTTCGCCATACTTAGTGTAAAAAACGCTCAGCATAATAAAAAAAGTAGCTCTAAAATGTGTTATATTATTTTATAACTAAGTTTTTAAACTATTGATACAGTTTGTGTAAAAATTTACTATTTTATGTTTTAATTTAGCTTGGTGTCTTCAGATAACACTTCCGAGGCAACGAATACAATTAATTACCAATGTTTTTATCCTAAAGTTTTTATACAAAATATTTTTTTATTAGGACCAAGCCTCGTCTATGTACGCAAATGAAAGTAATTATCACGACAGTATTTCATTGATAGTCATATGTAATTATCACGACAGTATTTCATTGATAGTCATATGTAATTATCACGACAGTATTTCATTGATAGTCATATGTAATTAATACAGAATGAAATTTCTAGCGTACACCAAACTAAGCATAAATTATTAAAAGTTTACACAAATGATATTTATAGTTTAAAAACTGAGCTACAAAATGACATCACAACTCTTTTTTTTTTTTTAATGATGTTATTAGATTGTCGCATGCTTCATATGTTAATTCATTTTTGTAGAATTGTATCACTAATGTAATAGACAGCTATGTAAAGCAAAATAATTCCCAAAAGAAAACAATATTATTAGAAATGGAGGCCCGTTTAACAACAGCACTCAACAAGCAATACGTGTCCGTTAGAAGTATTGGACTATTGGCAATGGCGCGACAGGAACAGATATTCAGGACGCCAGTCCTTCCGCCGAACAATACATCACGTGTCGTCGCGCGGCGTACATTCACGCAGAAAACTATATTGAAAGTGGTGTCTGTCGTCGATCACCCCCCTCCCCTTGTTTGGTAATGCGGATCGAGGGGGTCACGTCTGATATAATAAATGTTTCCTTTAAAATTACTACAAGAATTCATATTATTTCTAACTTTGTTTATATCGTGCAAAATAGTAGCGTTCTCTTCTATGTAAATGTAATGTTTTCAGGTGTATAATTGTACTAGATTTTCTCTAGGCCTTCTCAATAACAATTTTTCGTTAATTTTTGCTTCTTGTAATTATATCCGCCTTGATTTCAGCGTCATGTTAGCTAAACAGTTAATTTAAGAGTTTTTTTTTAAATTTTGTGCGACCATGCCGGTCTGTTGGATTTGGGACACAATTTCTAAATTTAACGGGTAATTGAAAGTTGTCATTTGCAATCATAAAGTTTAATCTAAAAATTTTCCAAGAATTTCTATTCGTGCATGTTAAAATATATATCGAAACTTCACGTGAATAGTTTTAATCTGTATTTGTTCATATCTCAACTATTATTCCGTATTTTATTTCTGTTACTTAATCAGCAAAAATAT